AAATTCTGAAACCCTAGTAAGTTGAATCTTAGGAAATAAGACACCCCCTCCCTCCCCACACACAAAAGAAAAAGACTGGCTTTGGAAGGCTAGTAGCAAGTTTGGTGAGGAATAAATGGTAACATTTGATATGAAAGGTTAGGCCAGGGGTGTGGATCAGGATAAAATTGGATAACTTAGATACTAGACAGGCTTTATCCAGGGACTCGATTGCCAGAAGGTTAAAAAATAAAAGATTGATATCTTTCTGATGTGAATGAGGTCAGGACAGCATGGGGCCATGGAGGTGGATTAAAGAACTTTCAACATTGCTTCTAGTCCTTTGATACTAGGCACATCTCAGAGTGCTGACTAACCCCAAATTCACTGCACTACAGAGCAAACAAAATTTCACTTTCAGAGGGGGATAAACATGCAGAATATGACTGTATATTCAGAGAGTCTAGTAATGCACTAATTATGCAGGGGTGTGAGCAGGGGTGAGGATGCCTGTAGAGGAGGTCTTAGGAGTTCAGACATGAAAAAATTAGCAAGACGGCATGATAGATTTTGAATTTTGAGCAGCAAAATAGCATAGGGAAATAGATTTCCTGGCCACACTGTTCAATAATTCATGAGCTGCAGCACTCAGACAAGGCTTCTTACCTGTTAAGTTAACCTCCCACTAAGATCCCTTCTTCTAGTGTTCTCTAAGCTTATAGCAGTTATAAGTCTCTCCATCCTGGCTATTCCAGCCCCAGATTTGATTTTAGGTAACTGCATCAGGGTAATCATAAGATTGTTAAAAACCTGAGAAATTTAAATCTTTGAATACTCATAAAACTGAAAGATGATATAACATGGAAAATTATTTTAATAATCTAATCTGCATTTCTCAAAGGGTGCTCTCTGAAACAGTAGTTTCTTGAGCTATCTCTTTCTCAATGCACACAAACACACACAGATTATTCATAATTCTGTGGTCAAATAAGTTTAGGAAATCTTTTGTATTACGTCTTGGAGATATACTAAGTCTTCTGGTTTATTAAAGATTGTGATAAGTCTTACACTAAATGAACTTGCTTCTTTGTATTTAAACCATAATTTCCAAGACTTATTTGACCCAGAAATGTTAAAAAATGTGTGCAAAATCCTTTAACCTCTTATGGAAGTACTGTTTCATGAAACAGTTTTGAAAGATGTTGAGTTTTCTGTATGATCTGTTGTTTGAGCATTGATGATCTGAAATTGCAGTTTCAACTCATTACATAGATTTTACTAGGTCAATTCAGAGGTTGTTTATTAACTATAATCAATGTAGGTTCTGGATAAAAAGTCAAAGCAAGTCTTGATTTATCTATTATTGACCAAATTCACTTGTTAGCAGATACCTCCTTACTTTATTCTTTCTACCTAGCTACCAATTGGTAGTTTTAATTTACTTTTTCTCCAATTTAGAAAAAAAAAATCTGGATCACAGTACATTTTATTTTTATTTTTTTAATTTTTATTTTTTAAAGATTTATTTATTTGTACACACAGAATGGGGGTACAGGCCAGAGGCTCAGGGGTGGGGAGAGGCTTCACCAGAGACAGAGTGGGGAGCAGAACAGGCAGATCGATGAAATACACTGCTGAGGGGAGCAGTGGACGGGTCAGGAGAGGTCTGCCGCGCCATGTGGTCACCTCTGGGGCAGGCGGGAATCGAACTCATGCGGAAGTGGCTTTAGCTTCTCAGTGCAGTGCTTTAACCCGCTGCGCCACCAGGGAGGGCCCACAGTACATTTTAAAAAAAATTTTATAATTTTTCCAAAAGGATTAGGCCAATTTATATTCCCAGAAATAGTGCAAGAAAATATTTTTTTCCCACACCCCAGTCAATACTAAATATTGACAACCTTTTTAATGTTTTCAAATCTAAAAAAAGTTAGATTTTTATATTTTTTAGATGTTGGCATCCCTTGGCCTCTGTTTTGATTAATTTATTATTTAAATTTTTTTCCCATAGGTATACATTACATTGATTTTACATGCATCACATCATGCAAATGGAGATTTAATTCCTGCCTTTTTATGCTCCTTTTTCTATTGTCCCTAGCATTTTCCCTGAAATGTGAATCCTGCAAATCTTATTTGATTTCGGCAATTTGATAAAATGCAGATTGCAAAGTGTTCTGTAGATGTAAGTGATTTTATTATGAATTTTCCTAACTGATTTTATTGAGTACCTACCACTATGGTGCCTCATAATGTGCTGGGTTAGGGCCACAGTACAAAGGTAAGCATGACTTCTCCATTTGAGGTGTCAGAGTCAGGGTGCAGGGCATAGTGGAGTGAGTTGGTAGGGGGCAATGAGTAAACAGTTATGACAAGTGAAGGTGACACTGGTATGAAGCAGCACAAGAGAGAATCAAATGGCTGTATCGAAGAACTACCTTTAAGTGGTGGGAGTTGAAGCCTGAAAGGGATTAATAAGGCAGGAAAAGAGGAGGGCAAATGTTCATAAAAAGATACTCAGACTTACCTTACTAACAATCAGAACATTAGAGAAACAGGAAATTTTTTTAGATTTGAAAAAATTAAGAAGGTTGGCAATATTCAGTATTGGCTGGTGTGTGGGAAATAAATTTTTTATACTATTTGTGGAAATATAAATTGGCCTAATCCTTTTGAAGAGATTATAAAATTAAAAAATGTGCTATGATCCAGATATTTTTTCCTAAAGAAATCCACATATGTATTCATACAGAGACAAAGCATTATTGGAATTATTGAATTAGAAGATCTGGAAATAAGTTGACTGTTTATTAATGGTAGAATAAAACAAACATCTCATGAAGTATTATTCAGAATTAAATAAGAATAGAGTTTGCTTCAAAAAACAATATAAGGTGAAACATTTATTTGACAATAATAGTATGATGTCACTTATGAGAAAAATCCCAACAAAGTATTTCCTTATATACAAATATATGCATGTAAAGGGTATGAATATTTAACAATATATTGATAACGGGGGGAAGTTTTTTAATTTTATTTACCTCAAAATTTTTTTGTAGAAAGAACATATATTTATGATTTGAGTAAAAAAAAAATAAAAATAAGTAGGACACAGAGGAAGATCAAATGAGGAAGTTTGTCACATGACAGCAAGCTTGCTTGGGTGATACCAGAGTGTCTGCTGAAGGTCCTTCCTGCCCAGGGCAGTGTCCCCATGTCCATCCCATCTTGCTTTTTTAGGACTTCCCTCCTTCATCCACCTCTTATGAACTGTCTTATTGTTACACATACTGTGTGATTTCTAGTCTAATAGTATCTTCCAGATCTGTCACTTTCTACCAGCTATTATCCATTTCTCTTCTCCTTTAATAGTAAAACTTGTTTAAAAGGTGTTCATACTCACATGCATTTCCTTCATATTTTCTAAACCTATTCTCTCCTACCATGCTCCCGTATTTGCCCCACTGAAACATTTCCAGTCAAAGTCTTCTCAGGGTCACAGTCTTCAGCACCCAGAGATCGTCCCTGGTTCTCTTGCCTCTAATAGCCTTCTCTGATGATCCATCTCCAATGGAAACACTTTGTTCACTCCTTCTCCCCTAAACTGTTTTCTTTCTACTTTTAGGACTGCTACTTTTCAGTTTTCTTTTCCCACATCTTTAAATGCTGGCACACCTTGACCTCTGTTCTTTTTTATACTCACCTTCTGGAATGACAGGTTTTTTTTGTAATGACTTACATTTTTAAAATTATTGAAGAACCCAGAAAGGGCTTATTTATGTGAGTTACAGCTATCATATTTGTGTATTAGAAATTTGAAAGAACATCTAATTATTAATTCATTTGAAACAAACATAATAAAGTCATTGTAAGTTAAAAAATTTTTTTCTGGAAAAATATTTTGTAATGCCTATGCCTCCAATTAGTAGGAAGGATGACATTGGTTTATGTTTCTGCAGAGCTTTTAAATGCCTAACTTAATAAAGACAATTGGATTCTCCTGTTTTCTTATTTGATTTGATATTTGTCTTTTTAAATATTTATTTAATGGAAAAATATGAGGCATTCTGGCCTTACACATATAATTTGAAAAGGGAGTGGTATTTTAATATGCTTTTTAGATATGCCAGGACATGACAAGTGGTAGTTTCTTAAAGATGATTATCTATAAAATGGAATCTGAAATTATATCAATGAATTTCAGCACCATGTTATATTAAAATTCATTGGTCTATTTTGCACTTTCAATGAATCTGTTCTCCAGGTGTGATTTAATATATTACCCACTAGTCATTTAGAAAATATTGGTTCACTGAGTTATGCAGCTATTCCAAATGTTGATGCATTTTATGACCTAATGTTGAAAAATCATATTTGTTGCTAACACTAAGTATTTCATTAGAAAAGTCTTTGAGTCTTAGGATGTAGTCAAGTTCATAGTAGAAAATGCAAGTTTTCTAAAATTCAAATTTTTTTAAAGTCTAAAATTTACGATAACCAATCAGTATGTCAGTTGTTTTCCTAGAAGTGACAAACATATTTCATTTGTTTTAGATAAAACATCTGCCATATATTCAAATTTGAATAATCTTAGTTTGTTTCATAGTGTTTTTAAATAAAAAATGGAGTCCCATGAAACTCAGTATACTTAATGAAGTAACATTAGTTTACAACATTGTACATAATTCAGAGGTATAGGATCACGACCTCTCAGATGTCACCACATCTATCACATAGGTCATGTTTTTAAGGGACTATATCCCTCTTTTTTAAACCAGGAGTGTGTTAGTGTGAAGACCATTTCTAGAATTACTGTGTTGATTCATGCTCAGATGCTAGCGGTTTTACCTATTATTGCTTTTGTGCAAATGATTCCACAGTGCAAAAGGTAAGTATTGTTTTAATATTGCTGTCAAAATAATATTTACTTTGTGGACTCCCAGAAAGGGTCTTTACCCTCCTAGAGGGTCATGGGTCACACTTGGAAAACCTCTGTTATACATTCTTCCGATCAACCTCACCCAACTTCAAATGACCAACTCTCTGGCTAATTGTTTTGCAAAGTATAATTTTAAGATGGCTAATAATTTGCAATTATGTCACATGTAATTTTTGAATAATGGGTTTAATAAGGTTATTAAGTCCATTAGTGTTTAGTACTTATGTGTCTTTTTTTAAACATGAAATTAGGTTAGCAAATCATAGCTGCAAATCCCTTCTCTCCAATTTTCTGTTTTTAATACCCCAAGTGACTTGGTTTGGAGTTATACACTGCATTTCAAAATTGTTCTCTCACATAATGTCTGTTGGTGGGAGAGAATAGATAACTTTTCACACTCTGATTCTAGGACACCTTCTCAACAAAGACATGTGTTTAAATGTCCTTGAATAGTCTTTGCTTCATTTATAGCTTATAAAGCAAATTTAAGTCAGAGGTAGTAGCAACCTTTACTCTAAAAATTTCATCTGGCTTGTCCACTTCCTTTTTCATTTCTTATCTCTGTAGCTTGATATGGTAACTTTTTTGATTCTTTTAGCTTTCATGATCTTTATGCTTAACTTCAGCTGCTTATTGACTTCTTTAAAGTCCAGCTGCTCTCTTTTTCCTTCCAGTCTCTTACAGATCCCACCTTTGAAGAACTTGCCTAACACTTGGCCCCAGCCTAAGGAACCCCACTCATTGTACTATTTCTTGGCCCCACATTCAGAAGAAGGAGTTTGGACAGACTTAAATGCAGTTTTTAGATGTGGTCACCTCATCAGAAAGTATTTTTTTTTTGTTAAGAATTTGGGGTTAGGGCCCTCCCTGGTGGCGCAGCGAGTTAAAGCACTGCACCGAGAAGCTAAAGCCACTTCTGCATGAGTTCGATCCCCGCCTGCCCCGGAGGCGACCACATGGCGTGGCAGACCTCTCCTGACCCGCCCGCTGCTCCCCTCAGCAGTGTACTTTATCGATCTGCCTGTTCTGCTCCCCCTCTGTCTCTGGTGAAGCCTCTCACCACCCCTGAGCCTCTGGCCTGTACCCCAGTTCTGTATGTACAAATAAAAAAAAAAAAAAATTAAAAAAAAAAGAATTTGGGGTTAGCTGTTTCCTTCTGGGGTATGCTTGGAGGAAATAGCGTACATAAAGGACAATAATGGAGTACCACTTTAATTAATAACCAGTTAAGCATCTGGTATCACACAATCCAAGACTTACTAAGCATGAACTTACTAGGCATTCTGCCCTGGCGAAATGTTCCTAGAGCATTTCAGCTCTGACCCATAAAATTGGCTATGTCTTTTCTCAAGGCTCAGTAGTTAAGGGGAGGAGAAATGTACATTTGGTGGAGAGAAGCAGAAGCATCTTACGGCAGCAGTTTCTTCAATGCTTCTAAATCATGCAGCATTATATACACAAAGAGGATATGGACTTCTTTATGGACTTCTTTATGACACTGCCCTATAATCACTAAACTGGAACACCAGAGAACTTCAGCCATCACCTGGTACAACTTAATGTCATCATATAAATGGGGCCTGGGTATGTTAAATGTTGTACTTAGGGTCACCCTTAACTAAAACCCTTGTTTCTGTACATAGTCTTTCTCCCACTAGGACACATTCACTCATGGGGCTCTGACATTTCAGATACTGCTTTTCAACAAGAAATTATTCCTTCCTGAAGTTTTGCTATCATTTCTCATCTTTCTAAATTGTGTCATAAGCTGTGGTTTCTATAATTTACTTAGGATTTTGAGTTACATTAATTACTTTTGCAGGTGATCTGAATACAAAATACTGTTTTTAATCTTTTAAAAATACTTTTTCTTTCCATTTAAAGCTAATAGTACTCCCTCCTCCGGACCATCTTCCAGCCCCAAAGCTATCAACATTACAGAAGTGAGTTATTTTTTCCTTTTTACTTATTCAATTGCTTTTTGAATCACATTGGAAAACTAAAGAAAACACATGGTTTGAAGGGATATTGAATTTTCTGAAGCTCAAGAGTCACAAGGACAGATTCTGTTAATGTCTAATTAAATGAAGCACATAAAGATTTGTAAAACTGAGGAGTTATGTTTGTCTTCTAATGCATGCATGCAATTTCAATTAGAATTACATTATTATCATAAAGGAGATATTACAGTTTGAGGGGTGAGGGCATAATGGGACAAGGAAAGGAAAACAACCCTCTCTTCTCACCAATTTTATCTTTTTGCTTGCAAAGGTACATTTTTCAAAGAGCATGTTAATAGTCAAAGCAGGAGGATGATCACAGATAATAGGCAATACATTCTAGAGATATATTTGAATAGAGAAATCTGTAAATTCTGTTCTGTGTTGACAGGCATTTGGATTCATTTGTTCAAAATGCCCATGAAATCCATTTGCAGTTCTTATGAATACCGCTTCTAGGTCAATATTCTTTTCAATCTCCTGATTCTACCAGAAGAAGACCTTTATCATATGCTGATTTCTTTTTATTATTTTGTTCACACTTCACAACTTTTTTCTTTTACAATATTGGCTTACCATAGTTTATCTGAAGATAAAACTTACATGACAGCATCTGAGGTAGTTTAAAGGTAACTGCTGTTATGAGGTCCATACTGAATGGTTATACAAGAGGGAGTCATAACGCCTATATTTCTGCTTAATGGGAGAACCCATTGTAACTCATATTTCCTTTTCTATCAAAAGAGGTCAAATACATTCTTGATCATTCCAGTTAACTGGCAGAGAATAAAGGTACAAAACATACGAGACAAAAGAGCACTCACAGAAGGACAGTAGGATATTTTGATGTCCCCATACTCTCCGCACAAACACATTCGGAGGAAAGCTACTGCAGGGTAGTTGGATAACAAGCTGTGATGTGTAGCTCCTTGGGAAAGCAATGGATTAAGAGCAACACTAAATGTTGGTGTGGACTATGAGCTTTTGAAAGCAGTAATATGAAACTTAACACAAAAGGTACTGAGTCAACAGACTCAGGATATAGATAATTTTCACATAAGTCATACCTAGCTGGTCACTTCCCTTGTGACACGGTATCAGGTTTGGATACAGTTCTTAGAAGAATTATAAGCTCTTTATGTCTGAAACTTCACACATTTTCCTTCTTCTTTTATCACACTGCTATTCTTCCAAGGAAGCTTTGTCTGCCTACAGGGTTCTGATACCTGATGGGGGAAACTGCTAAGGGATTGATGAAGGAGGAAATCTTTTGTGTGAAGACAGAACAGGTGGAGAAAGGAAATGAGACAATGACTAAACAAAACCAAGCAGCATCTGCTTGAGAGCAGAAGCTAAGTTTCAGTAGTTTTTGAGAAAATTTATTCCAGCAGATGTGGAAATGGGAACATGTGAGGAAATAAGATTGATCAATTTTATTTGCCATAATAAATGGATCACTTTTACATTCTTTGAGAGACTTCAGTAAAGATTTGGACTGCTTGGCAGTTAATTTTAAACATTGGGCTGCTATTCCCTTCCTAGCAACTTTATAAGATTTAAGTGAGGATGTAACTGAGTTTTATAGGATTCATATGTGATTTTAGATGTCCATTAAAAATACAGTAAACTGGGCCCTCCCTGGTGGCACAGCAGGTTAAAGCACTGCACCGAGAAGCTAAAGCCACTTCCACATGAGTTCGATTCCCGCCTGCCCCAGAGGTGACCACATGGCGAGGCAGACCTCTCCTGACCCGCCCGCTGCTCCCCTTAACAGTGTACTTCGAAGATCTGCCTGTTCTGCTCCCCACTCTTTTTCTGGTGAAGCCTCTCACTGCCCCTGAAACTCTAGCCTGTACCTCAACTCTGTATGTACAAATAAATAAATCTTAAAAAAAAATTACAGTAAACTGTGGTCATTTTTAATTCCTAACTTATTTTCTTGCTATTATTATAACAGCCTTAATGAAGAGACACTTCCAGATATTTTTATATATAGATAATTGTATTGAGTGGAGGGTACTTAAATATTATTTTCTCAGTTCCAGTATTATTATAAAATCCCCAGCAGTTATCACAAATTGGTTCCCATCATGTACAGGACCCAGGAAGAGTAACTCTGATCTTAAATTAACACCCAGCCACATAGCCAACTCAGATTTGTGTGTCATTAAAATTTGCCGTGGCTTGTCTCTCCTTCAAATCCAGAGCACTGGCTACAGAATGATTCCAGTTTCTTTAGACTTGTCAATAAATTTTAACGATTACCTTTATAAACATTAATTTCTGAAAGTAAGTAAGAAAGCTTCTTTGTCCTTTGAATCAGAAAAATCAGTGATGTACTTGAGTGTTTTCCATCAAAGGTCAACTCTATGTCCCTGAATCAGGCATCTTCCCTCCTGCCATGCTGCTAAAATGTAATTTTCATTACAGCTCACCACATTACAACCCACTGCAGCAACTGAGAAGCAAGCAGCATCTTTCGTTTTTTCTTTCACAGAAATGTTTGAGGCTATGCGGACACACTTACCTGCCAGTGGAGTCCAGAAATCCAGTAGTGCCAGAGAGTTGGGGCCAGTCAAGCTCATTAGAAATAGCTGTTGGTAAATTGATGAAAGATTTCTAAAGAAAAAAATGAAGTAGTAGTTATCAAAGTGATCATTTTTTTTCCCTTACTGGCAGTAAGATTATTACCTAAGAATTGCCCTCTGCATTTTTCACTTATTCCTTCTAATCTTTCTCTTTATGGGCTCATATGTTTGTTGACTTTAACTGTCATCAGGAAATTCCCAAAGATCAGCATCATCCATGAACTGGCTTCCATTTAGCTTCTGTGAAAGATGTGGAATGCATGGCATTATGTTCACGCCTCATTTGAAAGGACTGCTTCAGAAACAGGCACACTTTCTTCTCTTTTAAATTTGCTGAAGTCATTTCCATTTTTTAGTTTAGATAATCAGAAAATCTATTACTGAAAATATAGTAATATGTAAACTCCCAGCAAAAATGCCTTCCCTGAAAACAGAGATATGTCCTTAGTTAATAAGGTGCCTCTTGAACTCCTTGGCATTCTTTTCCCCATAAAGAAGTACATATACCTAAAGCACATGACATAACTTTAAAGACCTCACATAAGTACGGACTCCAGATCTAGAGCTTCTAATGGGTAGTGATGACAAAGTTGGGATTCATTTAGGTTACTTTTCTCTGACAAATCACAGAAGAAAAATGTAGTGAGCTATGTTCCTGAGTTCCTCTCATCAACAACCCTGGGATAAACCCCTCTTCTGATTTATTTTCTAGAAAATGTTTATCTAGATTCATGTATTTGGACTATTATTTCATTGCCAGATTTAGCAAGTAAAAATGTGGGATGCCTAGTTATATTTGAATTTCAAGAAACAAAATGTGGTATATTTATATTATGGGATATTATTTAGCCTTGAGGGAAGAAGGCAATTTTGACACATGCTACAAATGGATGAAACTTAAGGGTATTATGTTAAGTGAAATAAGCCAGTGACAAAAAGATAAATGCATGTATAAAGTGCTTAGAGTTGATAAACTCACAGAAACAAGTACAGAGTGGTACAGTACTGTAGCATGCTGTTACTGCTTTGCAAGATGGTAGAAAAAAGCTACAAGGCAAGGAAGGAACACAAGGATTGTGTTCCTTGCGAGGACAAAGGTGTAGAACAGATTTTCATATTCCTTGGGAGAAACCATCTTGCTAACATCTTGATCACAGACTACTAGCCTTCATGGCTGTAAGGCAATACATTTGGATTGTTTTGCATACCCTGGCTTCTGGTATTTTGTGATGGCAGCCCTAGCAAACTATGACATGCCTTGAATTAGACGTCTTGCCTATAGTTCTTGGTATTCAGAAGACCAAGATTTAAAAAAACAAAACAGGCCCTCCCTGGTGGCGCAGCGGGTTAAAGCACAGTACTGAGAATCTGAAACCACTTCCGCATGAGTTCGATTCCCGCCTGCCGCCTGCCCCGGAGGAGACCACATGGCGAGCCAGACCTCTCCTGGCCCGCCCGCTGCTCCCCTCAGCAGTGTACTTCGTAGATCTGCCTGTTCTGCTCCCCACTCTGTCTCTGGTGAAGCCTCTCACCGCCCCTGAGCCTCTGGTCTGTACTCCAGTTCTGTATGCACAAATAAATAAATAAATCTTGAAAAAAACAAAACAAAACAAAACAAAAACAAACCTGTTGTTTTACTTTTTTAGTATGTATTTTTAAAAAAGATTTATTTATTTATACATATAGAACTGGGGTACAGCCCAGAGGTGTAGGGGCAGTGAGAGGCTTCACCAGAGACAGAGTGGAGAGCAGAATAGGCAGATCAATGAAGTACACTGCTAAGGGGAGCAGCGGGTGAGACAGGAGAGATCTGCTGTGCCATGTGGATCACCTCCTGGGTTGGGGATCGAACTTGCACTGAAGTGGCTGAGGCTAGCTTGTAGTGCTGCATCCTAACCCTTTGTGTCACCAGGGAGGGCCTGATTTACTTCTTAAAGGAAGTCATATGACAAATAAACCTTCAAACAGGTCAGTTTTCCTTGGTGACTTGCACTCTTCCATGGCTCTGTTAGCTCCCTCTACACCTCCTTCCTCAATCCTGTCATCTTTCCATTAGTCACCTCCAATGTCCCTATCCCTTTTTTTTTTATCCCAGGTATGATTTTTCAGAATAGGAGGGGCTGGAAGTGGAGAGGGTAGTCAGACAGGTTGGCTTTGCAGGATCCACCTATATTAGTTATGATTTATCTCCCTCGTAGGAACAGGAACAATCTTATGGAAGTCTTGCAAGAGCAGGCAGTCCTAGTGACTGGTACTTTATCACTCTGTGATAGGTGGCACCCACTACTTTCTGCTAAGAACTTCAACAGTGTGACTCAGCTACTCTCTGTTTCATTTTCTGTTTCTCCTGCCACTAGATATCACACATTTTCTCTGTTTCAATCGTATTTTTTCCCCTCAGGTGTTTTTTTTGCTTATCATGTGTGCTTGCTGTAGGATTTCAAAATATTCAATTCTTCTGGAGAATACAAGAAAAACAAACAGAGCGAGTAAAATTCACAAGATGTGTTAAGCCAAGATAGTGAGTAAACAAGTGACTTGTGAGATGTAGGCAGAATTTATGAGCTGTGTTAAGTAAGTTAGCAACCCATAAAACATGTTGAAAGTTAAAAGAACAATGCAACTCTCCCCCACACCACTCTCTCACCTATTTCTTCAGTCATTTGCTCAATGACTACTCTGATTTGGGAAACTGGGTATGGAAGTGGGTATCTGATTCTGGATGGTAAGTCCTCCCTTTCACTGGAAGGATTTAAGACAAGAACCCAGCAGGCACAGGGAGGTGTATCTGATGCCCTCTGCAGCCTGGAATAATAATATAGGGGATATTAACCCTGAAGGACCCTGGCAAAGTACATAGAAAGCTTTCCTGGGAATCAGTAGATCTAACTTCTATATCTACCTCTACAAATATTGTAAAGCTCCATGATTTGGTTATGACAGACTGGAAATGGATTCCACATACCATCCAACCCTCATTACCAATTAGGGGTCAATGATAAGAGATAAAATTCTTATGTCTCAGTTGGGGAAGTGTTGATTTTGAAGGAGGCAGAGTACAGGTGAGAAAATGGCTTACAACCCTGTCTTGGAAAGTGTGGTCTCATGTCCCCACTTTTCTTCCAGTTGAGAAATGGGTCTCACTGCCTACGGAGATCCTAGACTCCTGACTTTCATTCTACAAAGCCCACATAGTTCTAATATCACCCTCTTCAGTATTTCAGCTGGAATGGATAGTGGTTGGTGTTGAATCACAGCTGGAACCAGGATGGGTTTGCATCCTATAGTTGGAGCCCCAGAAGGCTTAAGCAGCAGGTCATATGCATAGATTTCTCCTGGTTATTTGATTAACTGCATTAAAGCAATATTTTTTTTTGGCTCAACATTTATGACTTATATGTTATTGACAAAGTTCTACTAGTTCTAAAATCAAGGAAGATGTAACTTTACCAGTGCCCCAGTTTTTTAAATATCTCTGAAGGCTGAAGATCATTACCCTATTTACTTCAACAAGACTGTAGGGAAGTTCAAAAGATAGCAAGAGAAGCAGGTAGACAAATGGAAGTTCTGTACATTATGTAAAGCATCTTGTTTAGGATGGATCACCTAGTGTCTGTTTCCAAGTGAATTACTGCAGGCTTAAGAGGAGTGAAGTTTATTGCCAGATAACAGAGAGATTTTAGCAGGCAAATGGAAATCTCAATGTATTTTTCCTTCCTTAGAAAATTTGGTAGATAAAAATGAGAAGTAACAAACATTAATAGCAAATGTTTTATAGATCCAAGCAAAAAGAGAATGTTTAAGTCATATTACATTGAACACTAAAAGCCTTATTCATGCAAGATTATACTCAAGATATTTCAAACAATTAAGGCAGGAAAAATGCAAATTAAGGTCCTTCTCATAAGTTCATGCTTATTCCTCTGGAGCATTTATGTTCTTAGGAAAGTTAGCTTAAATGTACCTTAAATGTACATATCTGGAAAGCATATTTACCAAGAAAATTTTTCCACAATTATGGACCCATCAGAAACCCAGTCACTATTGTCAGCTATTGCACTGCTTCCTTTTTCCTGATCTTATCAATGACATCCGCTATGTAATAACTGGCATGTATACTATTTTTGTATAACAGTTTCATTTAACACTAGTTGGTATATGTATCCCCATGCACCAAGAAAGCTTATTAGTTCTTATTTTTAATGAATATTTAGCAAATATGATACATTGGATTTAGACCTATTTTTAAGCCCTAGTTTCCATAAGCAACTTATATTTGGATTTCTTAAAGTCATCCAAGTGACAGATAAAGAGTAATGACATCCAACATATCCACTTCGTTCTGCCAAACTTCCAATGATATGAGGACTCTTCATGGTGATTATCACTGTCTACATTTGAACCTTCCTCACCCAGCAATGCTCTGGGATATTTGCACATTGTACTTCCTTTTCTAATACTTTAACTGGGTTAGTCTGACATTGATTATTTTCGAACTATGCAAAGTCATTGTGGGGGGACAGTTAAGCACTACTGCAAAACCATAAGGAAAATATGCTCAGAAATTAAAAAAAGAAATTATTTTCTAGAAACCAAACTTTCCAAGACATAGACTTTCTTGTTTTACCTAAAAAACATGATAGTCTATAAGCTGGTGTTTCGGAGTAGGGCTATGGCTATGCTATTGGGACCTCTTGTGTCCAGTCTTACCGGTCAGTCACTGCCTCATTTGTCCTACAGTGGTTCTTATTCTATGCCTCTGGGTGATCCTGATCCCAGCTGTAATGGTTCCTGATTTCTATGACTACTCATTCTCCCCAGCATCCTTCCTGCCACCTTTGTGCTTTTTCCTACAGGAATTAGACATTATGAAGTTTGGGGGTCTTCCTAGACTCTCACACAAACTTTCTTGCTCTGGCCACATTCCTTTAGGTTTTGATATGTGAACCAATTCTAAAAAATGGATATATACCCATTCATGTTGTTTGAGTGTGCTGTTTTCAGATAACTTCTGCAATTTAAGCCAGAGTG